AACTTGAATTGAAGAGAAACTCAGTTGGATTTTATAAAGTTTATGTTGAGTAACAATCAATCGAGAAAACTACAATGAAAAAGAAGAAAAAAGGATAAGAGTCAGGGGTTCGGTCTCTAATCAAGAAGAAGAAGCACCAACAAATTAGGGGGGAACGAAAGGGAAGAAGAAACAAGGTGGGTAGGGTGAGGTGGGACGAGGAGTTTGGGTCTCTAATGAAGAAGAAGAAGAAAGGAGGGGGTTGAGGGGTATCGATTTCTACCTGGTGAAGAACATGGGTGACAATTGAAATAGGGGATAGGAAGAAGAAGAAGAATTGGTTTTTTTTTTTGGGGGGGTGGGGTGGAAGCTGCTCTAGTTAAAAGTACACTTTTTCTCTTTAAATGTATTTTTTTGTTAATTAGATGTGTCAATTTTTATTTTATTTATTATAAATTATATGTATCACTCTTTAATTGGTTCATTTGACATGTCATCCGCAAGCGTAACTCACACATGTTATTTGCTGGACTCAAGTATTTATGAAGTATATTTTTTCCGACTATAGGTGTCTATTTGATCACTAAAAATGTTAGTGTTTAAAAGATCATTGTGGAGAACTTAAAGTGGTCATCTATGAAAATACTGACAACTCAATTTTGTTATTCAAAATATAGAAAAACGAGAAGCTATCTTGCTGTACTGGCTTGATTACAAAATGACAAAGAAGTTAAAATTCACTTTGATACTTTAAAGAATCAGAGAGAATTAAGTTAGAGATATTCACAACCGAATAACACAAGTAAGATTTGTCAATTTAGCAAAATTGGTGAATAATTTAACAATATATATGTATAATTAAGATAGTACCACATCTTGCCAATCTGGCAAACTTGCGAACCACACACACAAATGTTCCCAAATTCGTCAAGTTATACGAACAATTTAACAAGATATGCAGAAAGGAAATAGTAATAGATCTTGCCACTCCAGCAAAAATTGCCAACAGTGAACAAATTCATTGCATAATTTGTACGAAAGTTATTCGCGGTATAACTTGCAAATATAACGACTTGGTCAGTCCTTTTGAGTGTTTTAGCCCTGTAAATATATAAAATTTTTTGGGTCTAATCCATATAAAATTTGGATTAAATTCAATTGGGTTAAATAATTAATTTGGGCTTTACAAGTTAAATTAGTTCATTTTATTATTTTCAAGCCCAATGTCCATTTCATCTTAAGGCCCAGACTCATGCCATGTGTCAAGTGACATGACATATCTAGTCAAACTGCAAGCCAAAAAGATGACGCCATATGTTAAATGATGTGGCAATCCAAGTCAAAAAGCAAGAACCAACCACAAGTCGCCAAGTGGCTAAAATGACATGGCTCAATCAGAATCAAGCAAGAGAGTTCTTATGTAACTTGACTGTCCATCCTATACAACTATAAATAGAGGGGGTTACATACCTCTCAAGGGACATTTAGAGTTGGAGAAGAACACTTCGCAATTGGTGAAGACATCCACAAACAGAGAGATCAATCATCAAGTGTTTAGTTCTTCGACAAAGGAGTGATCAACAGAATTCTTCCCGGAGATCAACCCGTAACAACAAAGTGCTGCTCGACGTTCGTGGCAATTAAATACATCACAAGGAGGTCTACATCATCCTACATTCAAGAAAGACGCTTCTCAAGCCCTCGAATCACGGAGAATTTTAGAGAGGAGAATCAAGGGATACATAAAATTGTACTCACAAATATTTATCAATAATTATCACTTTTTCTTCATATTATTTTTGTTGCAGTTTATTTTTCATATTACGAAAATTTGTTGCGAATAAATTTTGGCACGCCCGGTGGGACTAATTCTGCCCTTCATCTCTCCTTCTTGCAAGTTGAAAATTACAAGCTTCATATCTACTACTACAATGGCCTTCTGCAAGTGTGATGTTTCATGCAAAGATGCTATTGTTGCCGCATCCGCTGAGCTCGGTCATGTTGGCCCAATCACTCGAAGCAAGTTCAAGACTAGTGGCTTGGATGGATCCGAATACTTCGCTTCCTTGGAGATGACAAAGAAAAGAAGATCTCATATGACGTTCACAACCGCAATCTCTGGGGGCAACACCCCATTATCGATGTTGGACCAACTTTCTCAAACATCCTCAAACCTTGGCAGATTTGAGGATTTGGTGGATTCTTCAGTTTTAACAAAAGTCAATGCCTTGATGACTGACGCAACTAATGTGGACGAAAGTTTGCCATGATGGAACAGACTATAGAGGTCTTGAAGAAATCTGTTGAAGACAAAGACTTTCAAATCGCTCAACTCATGAACAAATTGGACGCCTATGCACCTGGAGAGTCGAGCAATGTCCCTCCTCGTTCACCTGTCTTCACCTCCAAAAAAAAATAGCCGTTGAGGAATCATTTTCAAAGTTAAACATTTAAAAGGAAAAGCAATATACTTCAGTTGCGGCGTTATCTGTCCAACAATTGCAAGACATGATAACAAACACCATCAGAGCTCAATATGGCGGACCATCACAAAGTTCGTTGTACTACTCTAAGCCTTATACTAAGAGGATTGATTTTTTAACCATGCCAACTAATTATCAACCACCAAAGCTGCATCAATTTGATGGCAAAGGGAACCAAAGGCAACATATTGCCCACTTTGCCGAGACTTGTAGCAATGTGGGAACGCATGGTGATCTTTTGGTAAAACAATTTGTTCGTTCTCTAAAAGGAAACACATTTGACTGATATATTGACTTGGAGCCCGAGTCCATTGATAGATATGAGAAACTTGAGAAGGAATTCCTCAACTGTTTTTACAGTACCCGAAGAACTGTAAGCATGATAGAATTGACAGGCATCAAGCAAAGGAAGGACGAGCCAGCGATGGATTACATTAATCGTTGGAGGGCGTTAAGTTTGGACTGCAAAGATCGCCTTTCAAAAATATCTGCTGTGGAGATGTGCATTCAAGGAATGCACTGGGCCTTTTGTACATCCTACAAGGGATCAAACCGCTAACTTTTGAAGAACTTGCAACACGAGCGCACGACATGGAGTTAAGCATCGCAAGTCATGGAAAGGCATCTCCATTTGCTGATCAAAAGAAGTTCAAGAAAAATGTTTCATCAAAGAACCAAACCAAAGAATCAATGGAGATGAAAGCAACTTCTGTGAAGGTGACTACTAAGCAAAAAGTGAAGGAGGATAAGACCCCGAGTCAATATCCCAAAGAGGAGAAACGTCGTCCCACCTTGAAGGAATCAGAGGCGAAGGTTTATCCATTTACAGATTCAGACGTACCCACAATCCTTGATGAACTGTTGAATAAGGCAGTCATTGATTTCCCTGAATAACAAAGGCCAGAGGAAATTGGCAAAGTTGGCGATCCGAAATATTGCAAGTTTCATCGCGTCATTAGCCACCCTACAAAGAAATGCTTCGTCTTGAAGGAGAAAATTATGGCTCTTGTAAGTGAAGGAAAAATCATCATAGACATGGATGAAACAGCAGAAGCAAATCATGTAAGTATCGCGCTCAAGGAAAAGAAATGTTCAAAGTTGCATAACGTGTCAAGCACTGCCTTCTTAAAATTTGGAAGTTTCAAGCCCGTTGAAGTTGATCTTCCAAGGAAAACTCTTGAAGGTTCACTAGAGCTAGACAATCACTCCAAAGACAAAGATGATGAGGGTTGGATTCTAGTCACTCTGAAGAAGCGAAAACATCAGGCAGTTTTAAGGCTACGAATTCTTAATTCAAGAGCGATGATGAGCGATGCAGATAGGCTTCACCAAGAAATATCAAATATTATACTAGCAAGAAGATTAATAGTGCCTTATTGCCAAAGTTCCAAAAGCCCATCACATTGCATGAATTCTTTATGGGAAAATTCCTTCATGGAGGTCACGTTGGTGCAACTCATATAGTTTCTAAAACTGTCGAAACAACAGAAAGCAACGATGAGCCTACTCCAATGAAAACACAAGAACATCATGGAAACGGAAAAATTGTCACATGCTGTGCAACAATTTCATTCACAGAGGATGACTTGTTGCTGGGGTCTAAGCCACATAACAAATCATTGTTTGTTGTAGGGTCCATTCAGGAACAACATCTCAATCGCATACTTGTTGATGATGGTTCGGCTGTCAACATCATGCGAAAGATGGTGCTAAAAAATCTTGGGATCTCTATCGATGAGCTATTCAAAAGTAACCTAACAATCCAAGGTTTCAACCAGGGAGGACAACGAGCCATAGGTATGATCCGCGTAGGATTATCCATTGGTGAGATGAATTCAAACACCCTGATTCACGTCATAGATGCTAAAACATCATACAACTTGTTGCTTGGATGTCCTTGGATTTATGAGAATGGGGTTGTATCATCTACTTTGCATCAATGTCTGAAGTATAGAAGAGATGGTGAGATAGTCATAATTGATGCAAACATCAAGCCTTTCACTGAGACGGAGTCATACTTTGCAGATGCAAAATTCTACCTAGATTCTTGTGAACCGAAAGTGGAGAAACCATCATTAGATGACTAAGCTGATGTCAAGTCAGAAAAGGAAAATGAGGCTCAACGGACTACTACCAAGCTTCCTAAGAAGGGAATCGAAGAAGTCTCCATTAAGCTATCATCATCTGAAGGTGACATACAGACAAAGACTGAGGAGCATCTGGTTTTTCGCTATGTTCCACGTGAGCGTCGAAAGAAAGGGCAACCTTTGCTATAGGAATGTACTCCAAAGAAGCAAATGAGTCATAAAGATATCCAACATTTGAAGGAGCATATGATAGTTCCAGTTGCACAAATCCCATCCGTGACTTGTGAGTCTGTTAAAGGTAATCTCCAAGCTGATAAAATAAAAGGGCACTATGATCCTAAGGCCTTCATACTGCTTGAAAAGTCTGGTTATGACTTCACCAATCCATCACAACTAGGATAACTCAAAGACGAAGTCACCGGTGAAAAGATACATGGGCTCAATGAGTTAAATGAAGTTGAGAAAGCAAGGGCACTACGTCGCCACTGAAAAGTTTGGGTTAGGATTCAGTTTGGCAGAGCCTCTTCGAATTTCATCAAAGAGAAGCAAAGAGATAGCTTCATCACAATACACCTCGGTAGAGGAGATGAAGGAATTTAAGGGCAAGAAAATAAAACAACGGGCTTCAGTATTTGATCACATTGGAGGCTCAACCCCTCCGGTCTCGGTGTTTGAAAGGCTAAGCCACAAAGGTGAATGTGTAGCTTCCAAACATCTAAAAGAAGTTTCCACTACCTCAAAGACCTTTGTCTTTTGTTGCCTAGGGACCACAAGGAAGTCTCCATCTAGAAAGATACTGTCAAAATACAAGGAGCAAGTCCATGAGGAGCGGGATCATTTTGAAGTTGTTGCTGACAAAGAAATCTGTAGTGTTTTCCCATCACGTATGAAGAGGAAGTCTATTTTGTCGATATCCACAGATGGTCCGCTGAAGGTGCAAAGGAGAACCATTGTTTACACTTTCCAGCCTCATAAAGAAGCAAAGAAAGAGAAAGAAGCCATGCCGACCATCCAAGAAAGTCAAAGAGAAAAGTCAGACTTTGTGGAAACATCCTATCACATAATTGTGGAAGATAGCCCATGCCTTAACATCGATGATGAAGTACATGAGGATCCCCCTCAAATAGAAGATGGCGGGCAATCAACTGTGGATGAGCTTAAGGAACTCAATTTAGGTACTTTGAAAGATCCACACCTCACCTTCGGTACTCCGAAAGATCCACGTCTCACCTTCATTAGTGCACTGCTTACGCCTCAAGAGGAGGAGGAATACTCCAAGTTGTTGACCGAGTACGAATATGTCTTCGCTTGGTCGTATAGAGAAATGCGTGTTCTTAGTCCTAAGGTAGTTGTTCATCATTTAGGGATCAAAAGTGGAGCACGCCCTGTGAAGCAGTCACAACGCATGTTTCGACTCGAGCTTGTATCACAAATTGAAGTCGAAGTCAACAAGCTCATCGAGGCAGGATTTATTCGAGAGGTTAAGTACCCATCATGTATATCGAATATTGTACCTGTCAAGAAAAAGAATGGTCAAATACGCATTTGTGTTGACTTTCGAGACCTAAACAAAGCGTGTCCAAAAGATAACTTCCCGCTACCAATTATTGAACTCATGGTTGATGCTACAATAGGGCATAAAGCTATGTCATTCATGGATGGGTCCTCTGGATACAATCAAATCAGAATGTCTCCAAAAGATGAAGAGTGTATTACTTTCCAAACTCCAAAAGGGATATATTGCTACAAAGTGATGCCCTTCGGTCTGAAGAATGCTGGTGCAACCTACCAACGCGCGATGCAAAACATTTTTGACGACATGCTTCATAAGAGGGTTGAATGCTACATCGATGACTTAGTGGTAAAGACGAAGAGAAGGCATTACCACCTTGAAGACATTCGAATTGTTTTTAAAAGGTTAAGAAAATTTGACCTAAAGATGAATCCACTCAAGTGTGCATTTGGAGTTACCCCAGGAAAGTTTCTTGGCTTCATTGTGCATCATCGTGGAATTGAAGTTGATCTTGCAAAGATTGATGCCATTCAGAAAATGCCCCAGCCAAAGAACTTGAGGGAGCTTCGAAGTCTCCAAGGAAACTTAGCATTCATCCGGAGGTTCATCTCTAATCTAGCCGGACGGTGTCAACCCTTCAATCATCTATTGAGGAAGGATATCCCTTTTCATTAGGATCAGTCATGTCAAAATGCTTTTGAAAGCATCAAAACATACTTGCTGAATCCACCTATGTTAAGGGAGCCAATGCTTGGGAAGCCATTGATACTCTATATCGCGGCACAAAAACGTTCACTTGGAGTGCTACTTGCTCAAGAGAATGAGGAAGGAAAGGAACAAGCCTTGTACTACCTTAGTCGAACTCTGATAGGAGCTGAGTTGAACTATACGCCTGTTGAGAAAACATGCTTAGCGTTACTTTATGCAATAAAGAAGCTAAGGCATTATTTTGAAGCATACACCATCAAACTCATCTCTCGAGCAGATCCCGTGAAGTTTGTGATGACTTGACCTGTTCTTTCTGGACGCCTAGCAAGATGGTCCATATTGTTTAACCAATATGAGATCACATACATACCTCAAAAAGTTGTGAAAGGACAAACACTAGCCAATTTTCTGGCTGATCACCCTCTTCCGGTAGAATGGGAGCTTTCAGATGAGTTTCTACATAAAGACATTTTGTTCATCAAAGAATTTCCACCATGGACAATGTTCTTTAATGGATTTGCACGTCATAATGGTGCGGGGGCGGGTGTTTTTTTGATCTCTCTAGAAAGACAAGTCTTGCCATTCTCCTTTGTTTTAGGTGAAACATGCTCCAACAATGTTGCAGAGTACCAAGCTTTCATCGTCGGTCTCGAAATGGCATTAGAAATAAAGATTCTACAGTTGGGGATCTACGACGACTCTAAGCTGATCATCAACCAACTTTTGGGGAGTTACGAGGTAAAGAAGGAAGATCTATTGTCATACCATGAATACGCTTCTGGTTTACTTGAAAAATTTGACAGAGTGTTTTTAAACCACGTCCTAAGAGAAGAAAATTGCAAGGTTGATGCTTTGGCTAACTTGGCCAAGCCGATGACACTTGGAGAGAATGAGTCAACAAAGGTATATGTGTGTCATCGATGGGTTATTCCTAGACTTCTAGATCTTCAAGTCAACGAAAGCCATCATACATCTGTTCGAGTGATTGAAGAAGAGGATTGGATGCAACCACTGATAGAGTACCTTGAACATGGAAAGTTACCTAAAGATCCGCGACAAAAAACAGATATCAAACGAAGAGCACCACGATTCATCTTCTATAAGGGGACATTATTTCGCCACTCTTTTGAAGGACTATTCTTGCGATGTCTTGACAAAGAAGAAGCCCGCCAAGCGATGGAGGAAGCACATTCTGGCTCATGTGGAGCACACCAATCTGGTCCCAAGCTCCATTTTCCCATCAAGAGGATGGGCTACTACTGGGCGACAATGGTGAAGGGTTGCATGAATCATGCCAAAAGATGTCAAGCGTGTCAATTTCATGCCAACTACATCCACCAACCTCCAGAGCCTCTTCACCCAACTGTAGCTTCATGGCCTTTTGATGCGTGGGGACTTGATATTGTTGGACGACTTCCAAAGTCATCAAAGGGACAGATGTACATATTGGCTGCTACGGACTACTTCTCTAAATGGGCGGAAGCTGTTCCACTCAAGGAGGTGAAAAAGGAAATCGTTGTCGATTTTATCAAGTCGTATATAATTTTTAGGTACGACATAACAAAAAACATAATCATTGATAATGGAACGCCATTTGACAACAAGCTCGAGAAGAGTCTATGTGAGAAGTTTAGTTTCAAACAACATAAGTCTTTAATGTATAATGCACCTGCCAATGGCCTTGTTGAAGCTTTTAACAAGACGCTTGGTAACCTTTTGAAGAAAGTTGTTGCAAAGAACAAGAGAGAATGGAATGAGAGAATTGGTGAAGCTTTGTGGGCATACCGTACAACATTCAGAACTGCTACACAAGCAACTCCTTACTCTTTGGTGTATGGCGTAGAAGCAGTCCTGCCATTGGAGCAACAAATTCCATTATTGCGGATAGCAATCCAAGAAGGACTCACATCCGAAGAGAATGCTCAACTTCACCTAGCAGAGTTAGAGGCACTAGATGAGAAAATATTGGAAGCGCAACAAAACTGGAATGCTATCAAGCTCGACTAGCTAGAGCCTTCAACAAGAAAGTGTGGCCACGATCATTCCAAGTGGGAGACTTAGTCCTAGCTGTTCGACGACCTATAATCCTTAACAAATGCATAGGCGACAAGTTTACCTCAAAATGGGATGGGCCATATGTTGTGAAAGAAACCTATTCAAGTGGCGCATACAAAATTGTCGATAAGGACGGTCTCAGAGTTGGTTCGATCAACGGAAAATTTCTGAAGCAGTACTTCCCATGAAAGTCACCTATGCTCCTCGACGTACGAGCCTAAACTGCAAGTTATGACACTCCTTGATGCATGAGCTTAAACTGCACGTTGCTACACTCCTGGCCCACATGAGTCTAAACTGTGTACGACCACAAAAAAAAATAAGAGTCTGCTAGGTTGAAAACCTCGAAAGAGGCGGCCTAGGCAAAAGTCAAGACTAAAAAAAAATGAAACTCATCCCTTTGAACTACATTATGACTTGATCCCCTTCACCGAGGTACGTAGGCATCTTAGAGTTTCATTCTAAGTTCAATCACATGAGTTTTAAAAAAAATAAAAGTTTGGCATCATCGGATCATTACATTAATTCTTCCAAGTGTAGAGGCACGTATCTATGAGGAATAGAGACGATTTGCTTTGAAGTATAAAAGATGTTTTATTGCTTCAATAGTACAAAAGTTGATACATCAAAATATGTAGAGACAAAAGGAATTAGACATTTTTCTATACAAAAGCCTAAATCATGAAGATGATTGTAAACTAGGCTTTCTTGCTGACGCGTCTTAAATGCTTTTCCGTATGACGTCTCCACATTTGATGCCATTCCCAATGTATGTCTCTCGCGTTCAGTAGTAGTGATGATATCTTGACCACATAGCTTGTTGTTAATCCTCGAGCATGATAGTTTGCTTCTCTTGGTCAAGTATTGGTCGAAGGTCCCATATATGAGAAGTTGTCTCTCTTGGAAAAACTTTTAATCATCATGGGAGCCGACATTGATGAACTTCAAGACTATCAACAAATCAAGTGCAACAGTTGTTTAAGGGTTGACTCCGCATCTTGTATGACACCTCAGTCTGACATCTGGACCCTTTGAGCTCCTTCACGACTCTGCAAAAGGAATAAACAAGAGATAAGATTTGTGAAGCAAGGTACTTGAAGTTACTATATGCAAGAATGTAGAGTCAATCTCAAAATGGGACAACTCAGAAAGTATGGAGCCTTGATCTTCGGTGTGGTTATATTTCTTCACGTCTAAATGGTGTATAATCAAGCCGTTTATGGTCCAGACACCCATAGCACAAGCTAGGAATTTTTCCGCAGGAGTGCGCAAAGTTGGAAAGCGAGCTCAACGGACGTCTCGATCAAATTCGAAAAGCCACCGCAGTCCATCTAAAGTCTGTCTTACCTCTAACTTTTCACATGTTGTAGCTTCATATACCTAGTGTTAAACAACACAAACAGTTTGTGATTTGGAGGCTCCTAGCTCAAAATATGATTTTATTTCCGCCGGAACTACGCAAATCTGAAAGTTTACTGCTGCTAGGTGGAATTTGAGAATTTTCTGTTTCCAGATCAAAACGAGTTATTCCATAAAATTAATATGTATTACAGGTCTCTAAGTTTACTTTCTAACGGTGCAAACGGATCGCAATTTGGAGATTTGTAGCTCGGGATATGATTTTCTTTGACGAAAGTGCACCAAGATGAAAAGCAGCAAGGCAGATATCAGGAGCGACTTCAAAGTAATATCGCGACCAATCTAAAAGGAGTTCTGCCACGATATCTTCAGGTATCGTAGGTATCGACCTTATCTTTCTGATGGTGTAGACGTCTCAGGATTCCAACACCTGTAGCTTGAGATATGAATTTTTCCACGAGTGGACACAAAGCTGAATAGCGAGTTCGGCAGACGGTGGGTCAATTTCAAAATATTACTGCGGCTAATATGCTAGGAATCTTTTTATGATATTCTGGGGATTTTATTATTTCTGAGTCATCTTTCCAGTGGCATAGACGGATAGCGATTTGGATTTTCCTAGCTTGAGATATGTGCATTCCAATGATAGCATGCAGTGCTATGAAGCCGAAATGACAGACTTGTGTATCGCCTTCAAAAGATCGTTTTGACTTGTCTTGATGGAATTTGGCCCTAAATTTTGGATATGTTGCTGTGGTGCAAGTTTTTATTCTGAAGAACCAAGCGTATTACCGTTTGGACATTCCTAGGTCGAGATACAATTTTTTCAATGCGAGCATAAAATGCTATGAAGTCAAAACAGCAGAGACGCGCCAAGTGCTTGCTTGCCGAAGTTGGAAAAGCCTACTCCAGCTGTCTTCTTTGCTAGCCTGCAACAATGCAATATGGTACATGTCTCACTTGCCACTGATGAAATATGGTCACTCCGAACCTCCAAGAGTAGGGATTTTTTCGCCGAGGTTGAAAAGACACTTCATGTGTCTTTCTCGCCGAGCTGCAACAAAGAGACTAGTGGTTTGCTTGCAATTCATCTTCCTAGGGATGTCAAGATCGCTGCAACTCTCTCAAATCCTGCAAAAGAATTTTTTTTAGGAGTCCTCGGTGCCAATAGCACGACGTTTCAGCTCATGACACTTCAACTCGACTCATAAATATCGATGTAGATGCCATGAAGCTTTTGATTTCACATGATTGATTAGCCCCAAGATGCTGCGCTTCGCCTCAACAGTAGGTTTCAATGTCAATGGGATGTCGATTCACTGACTCCAATATTCAATAAAGAAGTGCTCCGTTGCGTCAACGCCATGGGCAAACATTATTGATGGTTCACGTATACTTGCACCTACTGGTGGCTGTAGTTGGGTGACCTATTAGTACAGAGGATGATAGAGATACTTTTAACCTTATGAGATTCTTTGAACAGAAGAAACAATCGCCTACATGGATATGTACCTGAAACGCGCAAGTAAAATAATAAGTGATTGGTTTAAAGAAAAGGGAAAAAGAAGTAGTAGCTACTCAAAGTTCCAATCAGCATGACAGCTAGCGACGCCTATGGCACGAAGCTTTCACTCAGCAACAAGAATTGGTGTCAATGACACGACGCTTCAATGCGGATGGTCAGTATTGCGACGTGCGCTTCTCCGTCAAATCTCGATAGATCGTACACTTCATGAACCTACAAAAAAAGGAGTGGTGATCATCCACTTCTTCTCATGATGCGTATGGGAGAACTCGCCATGTATATCATCTCCAAGCCTGCAACAAAAGAAAAAAAGAGAGGAAAGAAGTATGCTGCCCGAACAATCCTCGCGATTTCGGCGCTTGATCGATCAAAGATTGGTCGCATCTAGATCAAAAGGGCTGGAGCTTCGACTTTTATAGATATTGTCTATCACCGAGTCTTCTTACCAACGGTGTAAACAGCTCGTAGTTCGGATGCTCCTATCTTGGGATATGCATTTTTTTAGCAAGAGCATGCAAAGCTGAAATGTCGAGCGCGACAGAACTTGGACCAAGTTTAGGAAGCTCACTTGGGATAATATATCACGAATTTAAATCCAAATTTTTGGTATATTGCAGTACTCCGAGTCTAGTTTCTGTAGACGCAAATCTCTCGTGATTCCAACGTACCTACACCAAGATATGAAGTTTCTTGTAAAGACGCGCAAAGCCGAAAGATCAATGCGGCAGAACCTGAAACAAAAATTAAAAACATTACTTAAGATGGTACAGAAGGATTTTTGCTCCGGTTCTTGGATATGTTACATCTCTCCATGTCTTGTTTTAGAAGAATCAAGCGGTTTGTGCTTTCGACGCTCGTATACCAGAGAACGATTCCTTTTGCGAGAGTGCGCGATGCTGTCAGCTTTACAAGCCAGACGAGTAGATCATGATTTCCGAAATTTAACTCCAGCTGATCTAGAAGGAGTTTAGATCTGATTTTTTTTTCCAAAAATCGTTGCCTCACCCTAAGTCTGCTTTCTATAGAATCAGGCCGCCCGTGATTTGGACTCTCCTATGGCGAGATGTGAATATTTCACTGCAAGTGCGCAAAGGTGGCAGATAGCTTCTCTCCAATAAGTTTGCACCGTGAAAACATACACCAAAGGATGGCTGCTTAAATAGGTGTGAATTGAATTTGCCGAGATGTTTCTATATTAGGATACAATACAAGTTATGGCAAAGTTAATGATGAATCTTACACAATACATGCCAAGTTTGGAAAAGGATCTAACAAAGTGTGAGTTATAAGTGAACAAAACAAAAAGTTAGCATCCTAGAAGAAAAAAAACGTTACCTTTTCCTTACAAGGTCTAGAAATATTTTTCCTTGTTTGCTCTTGGTAAAAAAAGGAAATATGCCTAGGTTTGACAAACATGGAAAGTTGTCTATAATTTGCAATAATTTTTCATCACTATAGTTTGTAATTGCTACTTCCAAACCAAATTACATTGCCTACACGTGTTCGGCAACCAAAGTATTGGAAGGTTAATTTTTGCTTGGAGCTTGTATTTGACACTTCACATAAATATGCAACTGGATAAAAGCTCGGATTTGACCGGTAGAAGTCACCACAAGTGCTAAAATAAAAATATCAACATTCGTCGGTACTTTAAGTCTCGTCATTCATTTCAGCAAGCCTACACTTCGATAAATCTTGAAGTAGGGGGCATCTGTAGATATATAAAATTTATTGGGTCTAATCCATATAAAATTTGGATTAAATTCAATTGGGTTAAATAATTAATTTAGGCTTTACAAGTTAAATTAGTTCATTTTATTATTTTCAAATCCAAGGTCCATTTCATCTTAAGGCCCAAACTCATGCCATGTGTCAAGTGACATGACATATCTAGTCAAACTCGAAGCCAAAAAGATGATGCCACGTGTTAAATGATGTGACAATCCAAGTCAAAAAGCAAGAACCAACCACAAGTCGCCAAGTGGCTAAAATGACATGGCCCAATCAGAATCAAGCAAGAGAGTTCTTATGTAACTTGACTGTCCATCCTCTACAACTATAAATAGAG